TGTCCTGTGCTGAGGACCCCAGAGCTGGGAGCAGCACTGCAGGGGGGTCTCACCAGAGCGGAGCAGAGGGGGAGAATCCCCTCCCTCAACCTGTTAGCAGACCAGGAAAACCAGGCGTTCTCTCCCTAGCTCTCAAGCTTTGCAAGTCAAGCCCTTTTGCACCACAGCAGCCCCACAAAAAATCCCCATGCCAGTACAATCGAGCAGAGCTACCAAGATCTTCCCACCACCCACAGCAAGTCTGACATTTGGAAGCCAACGCTGTCTGTGCCTACTGCTTTTTTGTGTGCTTTAACAAGATGCAATCTTCTCTCATCCGGATTACCCCTACACAGACAAAACAGACTGCTCTTTTTCTTCAGTGAACTTAGATATGGCTCAAGGAAGCTCACCGAGGTAAGAGACAGAAAGAAGAGAGAAGTTCAGAGGGTTTAAGATCCAATTTCATACTTACAGCTCCTTCTCCAGCTGCTGTTGAATAAGTTTTGCTGATTTTGCCATTGTGACATCTAGACAAAGAAAACAAAAAGAAATTCGCTCTTTAGCTTCATGTCAGAATTCAGAACCTGGTTCCTCCTCCTAAAGGTCCAGCAAGGCCTGCTCAGACTGTGCAGTCATGAGTTACCAGGACAAAGACAGCAGGGTCTGCCCTAGGATGAGGGACACGGGAGCTCTGGGTGAGCAGGCACGAATGGAAGCACCCCAAGAGTCTGATATAATGTCGGGAATTGCTTTCGTCTTGCTGGGCAGTAAGTTGCTTCAAACAGAGCATGGGGTTTGATGTCCCACCCACAAGGCCCAGCACTCTCACCCCTCCTGGCATTACAGAACTCAACACAACACTTTTTAACTTATGGCATGTGGAGCCACGAAGGAGGCCTCAGGCTGCTCCTGAAGTACTGCACCAAATAACTAAGAAAACCAAATCTGATACTGCCCAAAAGCTTCAGACTGTTACACAGGGACCCACACCTTCACTGTAAAAGTTGCAGGGATCTGAAAATGTAGTCCTTTCCAAAAACTGGATGTTCCTGCTAGTCCAATCAAGAGAAAACATATAATCTTGGCAGCTAAACAGCTGTCTGATTTTAACACTGAAGCTACCAAGTCTGTACAGATAGTTCATTACGCTCAAGTCGACCCTATTTTCTGCTGCTTGCAGATTCAGGAATACAGTTCTGCACAAGCAGAAAGCCACCTGTTTGCTTATTTCAGCACACCTAAAAAGCAGTGCTGCTCCTCTGCAAAGCTATGACCTGACCTAGGAATTCTTCCAACAGC